ACCTTTCAGATCTCTTGGGACTGACAAAACTGAACCCATCATCCAAGGAGCCTTCATGCTCAGACAGAGCTTCTTTCCAGGGACTTTAGAGGGGGAACTTAGGGAAAGCTTATTTTACTTGTTCCTGGTTGATGTTCCCAGAAGGCATCCCACAGACAGATCGAGATCCTTTCTGTAACACATACCCAAGGTCTGACTGACCTGTTGGGGAAGAGTCTCTGAAGGTCCCAGGATTCCAGACAAGCTTCAGACTCGCCCATCAGTCAGGGCTGGCAGTGACCTCAGAGTGGAGCCACCTTTATTTTTTTACTGTCCCTGAAGGCAGGACGGGTTCTCAGCTACCTGCAAACAATGAGCTTCACTGGAAACATACCTTTAATGAGAATTTCCATATTGATGGGATAAGGCACAGTTCCTGGTGTTTATCAGGACATCACCACACCTTACTTATTGCTCCAGTGCCTTGTTTCTGACTTCCCCAGGTTTGGGAAGTGTCTACATTCTCCTATCACCACTATCCACTATAAGCTGATTCGCTTGGTTACCATTAGACCACAGGCTGGTTTGGAAGACTGGCCCATCTCTGGTATCACCGGTGCATTTCACATGGCCTAAGATGGGCCAAAGTATTCCAGACTGCGACCAGTGTCCCCCTGGTAAGGTTTTTGCACCAGTCCTCCACAAAAATGTGGTCCTGACTGTCCCCCAGCTGGATCTCCCCCCATTTCCTCATTTTGCAACTCTGCAAAGGGCTTGCTGCATGTTGTGTCTTGTCTTGGCCCACCACCTTACCACACTCGGGTTATTTTATTTCTGCTTCTGAGCTCAGCTCTGTTTTTGCATGGCCCCTGTCTCTCTTGCTTTACATATGCTGGGTGTGTGTGGTACTCTCTGAGGTGGAAGTTCTCTTTTCTTGTCCACACGTGAGCCACAGCACTGTGCTGGCAGGACTGATCACCTTCTCACCACTGCCTGCTAACTGGCCTAATGCTCTGCTGCAGCCCATCATTTAAAGACTTGGCACATTCCTCAGCCTCTCAGGGCATCTTTGGCCTCCCATTAAACACAGAGATATCCTTCCTGGCTCAGGAAGTCTCTGCTCTGCAGGCCACCAGAACCTGGGAGACTGGCATAGGGAGCTTGCATTGCGTCCATGCTGTTTGTCTGCTCCTCCCAAAGCATCTCTTCCTGGACTCCAGGACTACAGGACCTTTTGTCTGACCCAGCTCAGATTTTTATGTGCTTACATTTCCCTTTTTCCCTGAACTAAATCTGGTCATTCCCTTACTGAAAAATCTATTATTAAGTCACTGTCCAATTTCCCCTGGTTGAATACCTTGTTATTCAACCAAAATAATCCAGATCCTTCAGCTGAATTCTCTTTGTCCCCCACTTTGTGGCACACAGCTGACGAGCTCTCTCTAATTTGATGGTTGATTCTAGTCATACAGCCAGACTAGATAATTTAATCTCTTTTCCTGAAGGCAAGTGCTCACTGACATAAGAGCTGACCCCATCAAATGGCTCCTAGGCCTCCTATTTCAGTGCCATTCCCTCATGCCGTGGTTATGGACAGAGCTGAACAAATCTCCCAGGTGCATTTTCCTCAAACACTGTGGCTTTTGTGCTGATTCAGATGGGACAAATGATCTGATTCCTTCCTCCTGGAGACTGGAAATGCTGGTGGATGATGGTGGTAGGCTGTGTGCTGGCCAGCTTGTCTGCAGCAGAAGGCTGTTTTTTCCTGCTGCAACCTGCAAGCCTTTTATATCCTTTTCTCACTGGTTTTCTCAATTTCTTAACTCCTTGTTGTGGTTCATCTTGGATTATAAATTGGCCAAAGCTTTTGTTATGCCTCTTATTTTCTGGAAAACATTATTTTGCATGATACTCAAGCTGCTGATCACCTCTTTGATCCAACCTGCATTTTTAAACTGGGAATCTTCCAGAAGAATTTTGCATTCTCTCTGGACACTGAAGTATTTTATCGTTGTCTCCAGGTGACCTCTTATAAAACTCTTAGAAGTTTCCAGATGTTGCTTGAACTCCTTTTGCAAAGTTTCCAGCTGTCTTGGCTCACGTTTTGAGTCTTTGGTAATTTTTAATTTCTGTTCCCACTTGGCTCCAGAGGAATTCCAGAATTAGGACTTCTCCTAGAAGCTGAGTCTCACCCTGGACATTCTTTCCATAATTTGAAGATATGCAGGTTGTTCCAGAGAGAATGAAGATGGCAAAGAAATGTTCCAGGTGTTCCACAAAAAGGTTACTCCAGAAATTCTCACCCCCCGCCCCCCTGCTCCCCACCTTGTCTGTTAGTTACAGAAACCACGCAAAGCCCTTTCCTGCCCATGGGAGGAATCACCTGCAGGGAACTGTCTTCTTTCAGAGTTCAAGCTCCCTTTGAGTCAGCACTCCCCCAAAAGGTCTCCATGTGTTTTAGTTCAGGGTTAAGCTCCTTTTACTTGGGCTGTTTTCTTGACACTTTTTCAAGGACCAGTCCAGTGAGGAGGAGAGATATTTCATGCTGAAGCTCCTTGTTTCTCTCCACTCACTAACAAGAGAGCCTGGAGCTCTACCTTGGATGTCCAGCTTGGATGACTGACATGAGGCAAGCAATATGTCCCTGATGAGCATGTTTCCCTTGCAGTCTGTGGTCCTCCTTCCCAAGGGAACTGCTCTGTAGTCCAGGCTTACCCAAGATAATGTCCCAGGGGAGATTTAGGTTGGATATCAGGAAAAAGTTCTTCCCCCAGACAGTGGTTGAGCACTGGGACAGGCTCCCCAGGGAAGTGACCACAGCCTCAAGACTCACAGAGCTCAAGAAGCATTTGGACAGGCACTTGGTAGGATTGTCCTGTGGAGAGTCTGGAGCTGGACTCCAGGATCCTTCTGAGTCCCTTCCAACTCAGAATATTCTGTCCCTTTGAACATGTGTAACAATTTGCTTTTCGCAGCAGCAGCAGATTCTCCCACCCACCTCTGTAGCAGTCCACAAGCCTCTCCTTCTGACCTCCCACCCCTATAACCTATACACACATGGCACAAATGTATGTTATTTTTTTTTGTCCCCGGTTTAGTTTCGGACAGTGTGGAAATGCCATCAAGTTAAAAGGGAGAGAGCTGTACAAGCCCGCAGTGCCGCTTGCTGCTTGCCAAGCAGGAGCCTCCAACACCTCATCAGAGCCTTCGCTGCTGCTCCTAAAACTCATTCGCACTTTACATACGGGCAGTGCGGTTCGGCAGCACCCCCCCCTCCCCCCCCCGCCCCCGGCACACAAAAACACGAGTTACCCCTCTGGCCAGAATACAGAACACCTGTAAAGCACGATCTTTAGACAAGAATGATGTGAGGTTCCCGTCTCTATTTTGGCAGGCGGTGGCGTGTTTGGTATTTACTGGGTTAATTCCCCCGCCTCCCCCAGCCGCCCGGATTCCGTGGGAACCCGGGTTTGGAGGTCACGCACCTCCTGGAGCCGGAGCCCGCGGAAGGGAGAGAGCAAAATTAAACCAAGTGAAAAGCAAGCGGTCAGCGCTGACGGCGGGGATAAATACATCGCTATGGATCGCCTCAGCTGACACTTCCCGCCTGCGGTCCCCGGCAGGAATACCGGAGAGAAACCCGCCGGCCCAGCTCTGAGAGGGGGTGGTGGTGTCGGGGATGTCCACTCCCCCCGCCCCGCACGTGGGGCCGGGGCCGCTGGGCTCCCCGCACACGCTGCACACCCCGCACGTTGCAGGGCCACACATGCCGCGCCGGCGTGCAGGCACGGCGCACACACGGGGACACGCGGGGACACACAGGCCGGGACACGCACACGCAGGGACACACACGCACCCACAGACAGCGCCTTTGACGGAGCACGGGAAAGAAGAGCATCCCCTTCCCTCGGGCACTGGCACCCCGGCCTTCCGCTGGCAGGAGGGTCCTGGCGGGCTGCCCGACGAGGGGCGAGGGGCGCGGGGCTGCCCGAGGCTGGAGTGGCACGGCCCGCGGTAGCCCGTGCCGGGGGTGCCCGGTACCACCGCCTGCTAGCGGGGGGCGGCAAGGCAGGGCCGACCGGTGCAGCCCGGCGGCAGTGATGTGGCAGCAGGTCCGGTCACGTTGCCGGCCCTGTGCTCGTACCAGTGTGAGACGGGATTAGAGAGGCGGCTGTCGGTGCCGCCGCCGCCGGCGGGGAGCGGGTGCTGCGCGGGCGCGCCCGGCGCGCAGGGATGCGGGAGGGGGGGCGGGGGGTTCCCGCCCCGTCCCGAGGCTGCTGCGGTCGGTCACGCTGCACCGGTGCAAATCCTCTGCCAGTGTCATCCCCTGCGCCCCTCAGGGATGCGGGCTGCCAGAGGGCAGCGTCAACAGCAGATGTGTTTACATTAGAGATAGACATATTTTTATATGTATGTGCCTCTATACGTGAGTCCGTCTGTACTGAAGGAGCGCTTCTGCCGCGGTCTGGCGTTGCAGGCAGATCCGGCTCCCGTCCAAAGGTCGGAAAGGAGAGCTGCCGCGGGCAGCGGAGGCCGGGTGGGAGCACCGGGGGACGAGAGCTGCGGCACGGCGGCGCTGGGCCAGGGAGCGCTCCGCGCAGTAACACGCGTGTGCGTGCGCCTGTTCGTTCCCACGCATCCTACAGAAATCTACAGAAAACGTATGGCGAACGTGACGCCCCAACGGCACCCCCCCAAGAGAGGGGCTCGATTATTACCCTCTTTATCCCATGGCCACGTTTTCCACTGGCGTGTCTCCTCCCTGGATGCAAATTTAAAAAAAAAAATACAATAATAAGAGTACAATTATTTCATAATTATTGAAATTAGAAAAATCATAAAAACACAGCGAGAGTGGGAATCATCACGGCGGTAACGCTGACGGTGACAGCGACAGCGGCAGCAGCAGTAACACGGGGGGACGCCGCTGTCTCGCAGGGCGGCCCTGGGCGGGCGACGGGACCCCCCCGTCCCCTCCCCGGTCCCGCCCCCGCCCGCGCCGCACGTGAGCCGGGTGCGGAGCTGGCTGGCGGCGCGCGTGCCCCGCGGGCAGGAGCGGCGGCGGCGGGAGCGACGGCGGGAGCTGCGGGCGTGTGCGCAGGGAGCGCAGCGAAGGCGGGCAGGGGGGAGCGGCAGCGGCGGCGGAGGCACTTGGAGGAGGGGGACGAACTGCCGCACACTTTTGGCCACTGGACGGGAGAGGGGGGACGGAGGCTGCATGTGCGCAGCGTCGCTCGCGGATCTCCCGAGACTGATCTCAGCATCCCGCAGGCTCAGTAAAAAGCAGCGACGAAACATCAGCCGCTGCCAGACATGGATGAAGGAATCTCCCGCCTGCCGGAGAGGCAGCTACTGGAGCATAGGGATTTTATAGGGTAAGGCGCCGGGGCACTATCTCCGTCTCGTATCTCTACGGCGTTTCGTCTTCTTGAGAAAGTGCTGCGAAGCGCTGGGAGCGGCGCCGGCTCCCCGGCGGGGCGCGGGGCTCGCCGCCTCCCTCCGCTGGCGGACGCGGGAGAGCCCTTGCCCGGCCCTTCGGGCAGAGTGCTCGGCGCCCGTGTGCCCACTCGAGGAGGTGCTAGGCAAGCTATCGCTGCCCTTGCCGATGCTGGATCTTTCTGTTTTTCTCCAGGCTGGACTACCCTGCCCTGTATGTGTGCAAACCCAAAAGAGGAGTGAAGAGGGACGACAGCAAGGTAAGGATAAGTTTCTGGGGCTCTCTTCTGGCTTAACCGCTTAATTGGGGCTTGCTGATTTTTGCAGAGTACCTTCGCTCCCAAGAGCATCCCCGGGGGGCTGCGCATACAACCTGCCTCCCGAATCACAAGTGGGTTTACGAACGAGCTGGCACGGCCGGGAGAGCGGTGCCTTGACGATAATTTGCGCGGCATGTGGTCCGCATGACATTTGTTTTGGTTTTGATCAGCGTTCCGAGGGACTCTGCCTAACACTTGGCTTTTCCGGGTTTTGCTAATTAGGAAACGTACAAACTGCCACATAGATTGATAGAAAAGAAGAGGCGAGACAGGATTAACGAATGCATTGCTCAGCTGAAGGATTTACTGCCCGAGCATCTGAAACTAACGGTAAGGTGCCCAGGAGCTTACATGCCCGTGCAGATGCAGGCGCCGGCAGCCTGCCCGTCCGCCGTCCCCCTAATGCCTCGGGGACCGGTCTCACCGAAGTTAATGGAGGTGGCATTTGAGGGTAGCAAAAACGTGCCGGGAGGTAGCCGAGCCGCCTCCTACCCTTGCCTTTGCAGACGCTGGGACACCTGGAGAAAGCGGTGGTGCTGGAACTGACTTTGAAGCACTTGAAAGCGCTAACAGCCTTAACAGAGCAGCAGCACCAGAAGATAATTGCTTTGCAGAATGGTAAGCGGAGTCTGGGGGACACCGCCGCTAGGGCACACCGGAGGCGGGCGGGGGGGCCGCGGAGCGGGGCACCCCATGCTGGAGCCGCGGGTAAACGCTGTCCCCGCTCGGTCTCTCCCGCAGGGGAGCGGTCCATGAAGTCTCCGGTGCAGGCCGACCTGGACGCCTTCCACTCGGGCTTCCAGACGTGCGCGAAGGAAGTGCTGCAGTACCTCTCCCGCTTCGAGAGCTGGACCCCCCGCGAGCAGCGATGCGCGCAGCTCCTCGGCCACCTGCACTCCATCTCGTCGCAGTTCCTCTCCGGCCCTCAGCTCCTCTCCCCACCGCCGGGCCCCCTCAGCAAGGGATCCTCCTCCTCTTCCTCCCCGCCCGCCCCCCCCTGCGCGCCGGGCCACAAGCCGGAGGGCCAGGCTAACTGCGTGCCCGTCATCCAGCGGACTCACGCCGCCGAGCTCAGCGCCGAGACCGACACGGACACGGACAGCGGCTACGGCGGGGAGGGCGAGGCGCGCCCCGAGCGCGGCCCCGCGGCGGCGGCTGGGGGAGCGCTGCCCGCCCTGGCCATCAAGCAGGAGCCGTCGGGGGACGAGCTGCCCCCTGCGCCCAAACGGCTGAAGCTGGATCGCGGCGGGAGCCCCATGCCCGGCCCGCCGGGGCTAGCGGCGCGGGGAGCCGAGGCGGCGGCGGCGGCAGCGGCGGCGGCGCTGGTCAGACCCGACGCCGCCCTGCTGGGCTCGCTGATGGCCCTGGGAGCGGGCGGCGGCGGTGGCCCCTTCGGACAGCCGCCGGCGGCCCCTTTCTGCCTGCCCTTCTACTTCATCTCCCCCTCGGCCGCCGCCGCCTACATGCAGCCCTTCCTGGATAAAAGCAGTCTGGAGAAGTATCTCTACCCCGCCGCCCCCATCCCGCTCCTTTACCCGGGCATCTCGGCCCAGGCGGCCGCCGCCGCGGCAGCCGCCGCCGCCTCCTTTCCCTGCCTCTCCTCCGTGCTCGGCCCCGAGAAGGCGGCGGCGGCCGCCACCGGGCTGCCCCCGACGCCCCACCTCCCGCACCCCTTCGCTGCCGCCGCCGAGCCCGGCGAGGAGCCCGAGCCCGCAGCTGCCGAGGAGCCCTGCGCCGAGGGCCCGTGAGACGCCCCGGGGGCTCCTCGCCGCCGCTGCCCTCCCCTCGGACTGAGGGGCCGTCGGGCCCGCACTTGCGCCCCCGGGTTCCTACGGAGGGCAGGGGTCGCCGGGGCCGGTGATCGCCGAGAGCTGGCGGCCGCGGGATGTCGCGCCCGGCCCGGGGGTGTTCCGCTGCCGGGGCGGCAGGTCCCGGAGCGGCCCCCGCAGAGGACCGTCGAGGATAAAATTTGTTACTCAGTATTTTTTTAATGTTTGGCTTTATAAATGCATAAATAAGGATAACAAAAAAAAAAAGAAGAAGAAGAAGAAGGAAGAAAACATAGTAAGGATCCGGTTTTTTTTTGTTTTGGTTTTTGGTTTTTTTTTCCTCTCTATATATATATAGAGTAATTAAATGTGGCACCTTATTTGGAGTGGGTTTACACAGTGTGTCCCTAAGTTCCATTTGGGAACTTGCACTTGTTGTCCAGGAGACCTGGATGGGTTCAGGGTGAGGGCGGGGAACGAGGCGAGGGAGGAAGGGCAGAGCCCAGCACCTGTGCTAGCACTTTGTGGAGAGCTGGAGTGTGGAGGATGCACCCTGAGCCCAAACCTGCCGTGCCTTGAGCACCCGGGGATGCCGCTGGCTCCAGCAAGTTTTGGGTGTGCAAGGAAAGGAGGGTCAGACCCATTACATAACCTTGTGTTTATTTCCTTTTTTTTTTTAATTTCTTTTTTGGCTAAGGTATACAGGTGTGGCAAGTGCATTTGTTCTCACCCCATCTTTATTTAATTCACTATGTTCACAAGAGATTTATTTCCCCCCCAAAACCTTGCTGTATAAAATGAATGTTACTGCACTGAACTACAAAAAGAAACCCCCTTCTCTTCCCCCAAGAAAACACAGAGCAGTTTGTCAGCCTGAACTCATTTTATCCTAAATTCCGAGTGACACAAACTGGAGGCCGTAGATAAACACCTTGCTGTGCAACCAGAAACAATTAACCCAGTTGGGGTAAGTTTCCCATATGGGTTTTTCCCTCATCCCATGCTCAAATACCGCGTTTTCCCTTTCTGGAGACAAACCAGACACCAGATAATCACACAGATAATAAGGCTTAAACTAAGACCTTGCCTAGATATTTTTAGTTTGTTGCCAAGGTAGCACTTTGAGAAATCTCACTTGAATGTTATGTAAGAGGTGAGACACCACAGCCTGGCAAGGAGTGTGTGCGTGTCCGGAGTCCGTCAGTCCGTTTGGTGCATCTGCTGCTGCTGTTGCTACTGTTTGCCTCAAACGCTGTGTTTAAACAACGTTACAAAAAAAAAAAATCTTACTAGCCTACAGAGTGGCTGTATGTAAATAGTTGTTAATACATCCAATTAATGACGTCTGACATGCTATTTTTGTAGGGAGAAAAATATGTGTTAATGATATTTTGAGTTAAATATCTTTTGGGAAGATTTGCTAAAAAGTTGCACTTTTGTTACAATGCTTATGCTTGATACAAGCTTATGCTGTCTTAAATTATTTAAAAAAATAAATCCTGTCTGCAAGAAACCAGCTGTTTTAGAACAGTTTAATATGTGATACATTAGAAATCAATCTTTATATTCAGTATTTTCCAGCACTCCATGAATTCTATTATATAAATATTTCCACACTATTTTGTGATTTAAAAAATTCTTAATAAGGAATAAAAACTTTAATATACAAAATGGGGCTGTCTACTAATTTAAAATGCAATGATAATACATAATAATTGGTGCATTGAGCTTCAAATTGTATGATTGAGTGGCTGATGATTTAATTCACATTTTTAATCTGGGTTTGAATTTGCTGTGTTTCCTTTAACTCTGGCAAACTCTGGTTTAATATGTGCTCACTTCACAAAGCAAAGTGTGGAACACACAGGTTTCTTCCTGACATCTACTTTTTTCCTCTTCTTTTTGCAAAATACTAATCTTTAAAATTAACACTTGTCAGCCCTGGTGCTGCATGGGAGCTCTCTTTGCTCACAAGGAACAAACTTTATGATTTGCCTAACAATCTAATGACGTATCATAATCTCTGCAGGAATGAATGATGGGTGTCCCAGCTTGGAAATACTGTACAAAAACCAAATATTTTGTGGTGAGGGAGAGAGAGAGAGAGAGAGAGAGAGGGAGAGGGAGAGGGAGGGGAGGAGGGGGATGCTTGATACAAGCTTATGCTGTCTTAAATTATTTAAAAAAATAAATCCTGTCTGCAAGAAACCAGCTGTTTTAGAACAGTTTAATATGTGATACATTAGAAATCAATCTTTATATTCAGTATTTTCCAGCACTCCATGAATTCTATTATATAAATATTTCCACACTATTTTGTGATTTAAAAAATTCTTAATAAGGAATAAAAACTTTAATATACAAAATGGGGCTGTCTACTAATTTAAAATGCAATGATAATACATAATAATTGGTGCATTGAGCTTCAAATTGTATGATTGAGTGGCTGATGATTTAATTCACATTTTTAATCTGGGTTTGAATTTGCTGTGTTTCCTTTAACTCTGGCAAACTCTGGTTTAATATGTGCTCACTTCACAAAGCAAAGTGTGGAACACACAGGTTTCTTCCTGACATCTACTTTTTTCCTCTTCTTTTTGCAAAATACTAATCTTTAAAATTAACACTTGTCAGCCCTGGTGCTGCATGGGAGCTCTCTTTGCTCACAAGGAACAAACTTTATGATTTGCCTAACAATCTAATGATGTATTATAATCTCTGCAGGAATGAATGATGGGTGTCCCAGCTTGGAAATACTGTACAAAAACCAAATATTTTGTGGTGAGGGAGAGAGAAAGAGAGAGAGGGAGAGGGAGAGGGAGAGGGAGAGGAATGGAGTGGAAGCAGGCAGATCATTCCTAGCAGGGAAATGCAGCACCCTAAAGGCTTCAACAGATTGAATAGCAGAGCTGTAGATCACCTTTCCTTCCAAAAATTATTGAAGGGAAATAAAATTAAAGGAACGCCTCAAACAGTAGCCAGTGTTTACGTAAGAGAGAGATGAGGGGAACGTTCCGTGCTCCCTCTGCTGGCTCTCCAGTACCGGTGACTACAGTGACAAGGAATGAAGCTGGAATGGAATAAAAAGTTCCTAAAACTTGTGTTAATTCCATCAATCCCTTAAAACACAGGATGAATTATAAATTGGATGAAAAAGAAGCACTTCTTTTAAATTAGTCGAGTAGGATTGCTAAGAAATAGGCATCTTCACATGGAAGCTGTAGTAAATTTAATTCCAATTAGAGATACAGGCAGACTATCTAAATACCAATGGACACATTTTTTTTTCCATAAATAATGGACCAAAGGCTGCCACAGTGCACCACTTTTCCTGACGAAGTAAATTACTAGGTAGGGAAATGGGAAAAAGTCTGTGTCTGCCTCCATCTGTCTTTAGATCTGGTTCTGCTTACTGTGTTTTCACAGGAATGAAAGTGAGCTGGGCTCAGCCCTTCCGTTTGGTAACTTTGACCTGCATACTTGAACAGCTTAACACTTGTTAGGCCAGCATTTAGTCTGGGATGAAGATGCTTGTGTATTCCAAGTCCTCCTGCCAGCTGGGCAATCGGCCTAACTGAGTGCAAAGCTCTTCCCGCCAGATCACTGCCCCAACAAAAAGGCTGGAGCCACAAGCACTTCATAAAAACCTGTGCCCATCATGAAGAGCTCAGCTTAAAACCTGAGCGTCAGCAAGGTTTTAGGTCTCCTTCAGATTTTCTTCCTTTGAGAATATGAATCCATTTAGGTTTCATGGGCTATAAACCCAGATCCTTAGAAGGCTTTATAAATTTCAGTATTCACCAGGTACAGTAACAGGAAGGCTTGTTTTTATTAGCCCTTGAATTAAACGTGCCAAATGACTTCATGCCAAGTTGCAGCATCAACTGTGAAATCTATTACAGTGAAATCTATTACATTTTATGATATAAAACATAAAGACAAATTATGTGTTTACTGATAATCCCAATGCCTAACGAAAGCAAATATGGGAAAAAGGTTTGTAATTGAGGCTGATAGCCCACTGCTCCTGGAGGCAAAAGGCAAATGACAAGGAGGGACCCTAGTGTCAGCCTTAATTATTAAATTTCAGGCTTCCTCAGATCCCTTTGGAGTCTAAATCAATTGTATGTCTTGAATTTTCTTGAGGTTAAAAACAATCACAGAACATGGGACAAGAGCTTCCCACCTTTAAATACCCATTCCCTTAGGGAAACACTGAGAGTGCAGGACTGGGTGCTACATTTACCGTTTACACTTGAATCCATATTCTGTTGTCCCATAAACCACAAGATAAGTGATGCAAGCTAGATTTCTTAAGCAATAAATGCTGAAAACAGATTTTATAATCCAGTATATCATAGTGGCATGACAGCGCCAATAAAGTATGTTAAATTAAGATGGTTGGGATTGTTAAGCCAATGGAAGGCAATATAATGTACCTTCAACAGAAGGACAAGGTATTTTTATATTTGGGAGTGTTACAGTTACAGATCTTGACTATCAGCTCTGTTTGAGAAAGGCCTGACCTGCCATTTAAGCCATATGATTCCTTTTCTGGAGCACAGTGGGCCTTGGAGTAGGTCCCGAGTTTGTGGTTTGGGCCTTGTTTGTTTAATTTTCACTTTAGTAGGGGCAGACTGAATGTCTGACATCCAGCAAGTCTGGGGACTGTGCGCATGGTGTGTTTCAGCACTTCTTAATTCCTGGCCTGCCTTGTAGCCTGGGTCTTGCAACACATTTCCTTTTCCCTTCAAACTTCAGCTCCTGGAATCATGTGATGCCAGCCTTCTTTGAGAAGTTTCCTGCCTTCTAGTTGCAGAAATGGACATGAAGGTACAACCTCAGAGAAAGAAAGTAACAAAAATGCTGAATTTTCTCTGTGAAAAAAGCCTTGGATGTTTTAAAGCCAGTTTCACTCAGGAAAGTCTGAATCTCTATTGACTGTCTCTGGTTCTCCTGCAGGCTCAGAGCAGCTCGCTGGGAAGCAGCAGAGACAAGCCTGTGGCTCACCTGCTGCCAGCAGCAGCTGCGTGAGGCCTGGACACGTGTGGGCTGGATGTGAGCAGAGCTGAGCTGCTCCGCTCTCTGCATCCTTCCCGCGGCTCCAGCCTTTCAGCCTGCAGGGCTGTCAGTCTGTCACAAGCACTAAATTCAGGGCAGCCTCGATGTCGGCACTGCCGCGGGCTACAGGAGCTGCCCTGCCTGGGACAGGCTGTTCTGCCTCGCTGAACTCACGGGCACCCAGTGGCAGTGCACCTGCTGCTGCCGCCGCTGCAAACGTTCCCCGCCCTGCATGGCCCTCCCGGCACCCCAGAGGATGCAGGTGATGCCTGGGACAGGCGAGAAAAGATTCCCTTATATTTCAGCAAGCAGGGAATTTGATCCCAGGCAGCTCTACTGGGTCATAGGGACCAAGGAGAGTTGTTTCTACTGCCTCCATAAAGCCTTGTTGGTTGGTTGGTTGGGTTTTTTACTTGGCTTTTTGAAAGGTGTTTTATAAGGATGAGACCAAGGCACTCTCACAACAGTGTAATTTCTAGGGAATAATGTCAGGAAAAGAGCCATGTAGGTATGGCACCTTCTTCCTCAAGAGAAAATTGTCTCTCCAAGTGTATTTGAATTAATACCTGCAGCACAAAGCCAGATGAGCCAACAGATGCTGAAGTGGATTCTGTTCTCACCATAGAAGGTTGCCAAGGCTCCAGCCCTCCTGTGAGTGGCAGGCAGGCCCACAGCCTTCCTTACAAAGATGTTGTTGGCAAAAGAGCCCATCCAGGTGGGAGCAGCAGCCCCTCTGCATGAGCCTAATACTTATAGGTGTGGTTGGGTTCAGTGCATTGGTTTCAGGTTTGGAACCTGTGAGTAGTGACCCAGATCAGCATTTCTGTGGTATGGATATCACAGCTTCCAGCAAAGCTTGAGGCTGGGCCCTAGGTTCCAGCTGCAAAACCTGGAATATGAGTACCTCCACCAAAAACAGTCATAAGCCACCAAGAGCAGACTCTGTAGCAATAAGGCAGCCTGAAATGTGGAAAAAAACCCCTTCTCTTCACAGAATATCAGAATGGGTCAGGCTGGAAGGGGCCACAGTGGATTATCTGGTCCCACCTCCTGTTCAGACAGGACCATCCCAGAGCACATGGCACAGGCTTGCATCCAGATGGTTCTGGAATCTCTCTAGTGAGGAAGATTCCACATCATCTCTTGGCATCAAGAGTTCCAGAAGTGTTTTCAGGACTACCAGTAGGAGAAAGTGCCTCCTTTTAACATGTAAGTTGAATTCTCTTCTTCTGTGTGGGACGAAGAGGCTGGGGAAAAAAAAAAAAAAGATGGAAAATCTTTTTATGCTTTGCTTGAAACAAGAGGGCATCAGTCTTAAGCTGCACAGGGGTAGGATTAGCTTGGACATGTGGGAAATTTTTTTAACTGTACGGGTGATCAGACATTGAAACTGCCTGCCCAGGGAGATGGAGTCACGGTCCCTTATAAGTTTTTATGAAAAGAATGGATGTGGCCCTCAGTGCCATGGTCTGCTTGACACGGTGGTCTTCGGTCATAGGTTGGACTCGATGATCTCAAAGGACTTTTCCAGACTAAATGCTTCTGTGGTGCTGTGAAAAGAAAAGGTCTGCCCCACTCCGGGTTTGTCCGGAGGGCAGGAGAGCTCGGGC